AGCTCATCTGTGGGACAAAGAATTATCTTCTAAATTACTCCATCTGAACATTTGAATTTTTATTAATTACATTTTCTTGAATATGTTTTGCAGTGTGCGGCACACCGATTACAACTGCCTGCTGCCCTTTGAACTCTGAATGCTTTACTGCAATACCTTTCCTGAAATAGAATCATGGGACATTAGAGTAGAAGATTGCTTAGAGATCAGTTAGAATTGCAGTTCTCAACCCTAGCTAAACTTTATAAACACTTTTGGAGCTTTTAAAAAATATACAGGTCCAGGTCCCCACCCCAAACTAATTGAATCAAATAAGGGGAGGTAAGGTATTAGCAATTTTTTAAAAGAAATTCCACAGGTGGATCTATTAGAACCACTGATTGAGCATATAGTTTTGCACTGCCTGACACAACAGTCACAGGGATACGTAGCTACTGAGCACTTGAAATGGGACTAGTCCAATTGAAGTGTGTAGTAATCAAAATTCACACTGGACTTCAAATAGTACCAAAAAAATTGCAAAGTATCTCATCAATATTTGTACATTGACTGTATATTGAAATGATAATATTTCAGATATACTGGGTTAAATTATGTTAAAATTAACATCATCTTTTTTTTTTTTAATCTTTTAAATGTCAGGCTACTAGAACATTTAAAATTACACATATGACTTGCATTTGTGGTTCCCACTATTGGACGGTGCTGGTCAAGACCAACACTCTTTGATCATAAATGAAGAAACTGCGACAGAAAAGCACAGAGTTCAAGACAGCGCTTTGGGGGTACTCTCTTACAGTCTCGGGCTTTTCCAGCTGCCTTAAACCACAGTGTTGCAGAGCTAAGAATGGCAGAGCCTGTGACAGCATCAGTCAGACGGCAAACCTTCCTTTCTTTTGTCTTGCTAATTGTTTCTTCTAAGATTTGACACTGAAATCTATTCCTCTTACGGAAAAATGCCCCCCATCTGCTATGCACACACACACTTGTGATTTGTTATTGCAGGGTTACTCATGAAAGCACAGTAACTAGGATGGATGTTAAAAAATAAATCTAGAGAAATATTAGCATAAGGAAAACGCAGAGAATGGATGAAGAGGACTCTTAAGGCTTTTAAGAAGTAGATGGTCAAGTTCTAGCCCGTGAATGGTTTGCCAGGTTGCAGTTTAATGATTAACCCTGGAGACCCTCAACGTCCTGAGCGCCCTCTTCAGAGCAGCATCAGTCCTTGTTCAGAATTCAGAAGTTTGAGTCTATACTATTTCCTTTCCTCCCAGAAGGCAATGGTTTTCTGGGCAAGATTGTCATTGCAATGAGGCAAATCAGGCTCTTCGTAATGGCCCGCCTCGTCATACATACCCAGGTACCCTGCTGGAAGTGGACTTTATCCTCAAAGCCTTCTACCCTCTGGTGCATGGATTAGTTCCTGGTCATTCAGGAGCCAAACAATATTATTGCTCACTTAAAGAAGAAAATCTTGTTTTGGTAAAGTAAAATGGTCCCACCAGATGTGGCAAATGGAGATAAAATATATTTCTTCTAATAATCGGCTAATTCAAACAAAAACAAAGAGTTTTTTGTTGCATGTGGTTTTCTCCCCTTGGGAAGCCAGCAGAGAGAAAATTGCATAAAACTGGCTGAAATGTGTTATATTTGAGAAATCATGCAACACAAGGGCTCCTCGGTGTAATAAAAGAATAAAAGAGACCTAAATTCTGATATAAAGCGCTTATGCAAAGAGCTGGAAGGGAAAGCTATGGGTCAGGCCAACCAACACATACAGTAGACACATTCAAGATTTCTGTTGAGATATTCTTGTTCTCCATGCTAAATACAGCAGAACCTAAATGTCATCTTAAATCAAATGTTTAGTTCTCTGGAGCCCCCTGTGTTGCATGCATGATTTCTGTGAGCTATGATTAGTCAAGTTTTGCCAGTCAAACCTCAAAGAGCAAACTTCCAGACTCAACTCACTCACTCCTCACATAGTAGCATTTACCTCTAAACACTCTCATATACACCAGCCTGGAAAGATCATACAGCACAGACGAACCCTAGGCAAAAGTGCATCTGCCAGAGTGAAAAAAAGCACTTGTCACTCCAGTCAACAAAAGAAATATGATTTATTTTAACTTTAAGTTTTCAGATCCCCTCCACAAAGATGAAAAAGAATATACAGGAAGTAAAGAAAGTTACTGCCTGATTCGGAGACGGTCCTATAGACCATTTTGAATTCTGCCTGGCTTTTAGTCTCCAGTGAAATCTGGAAGGTGTCATTTCACAGGGCATGTCTAACAGTAATGGTGAAGAAGAGTGGCCTTCAAATAAGGAGGCCGATATTAGAAAAATTAACTTTGTAGCTATATAAAAATAACCAGAATAGAGACCACAGTTTATATGGTCAGGGCATTCATTCAAAAGATCTTATTAAAATTTGTCATTGAAAGGTTAGTGATCAAACGGTTTGAAAAGAGCAAAGCATCCGAAGCCATGGGTTATGCTTCACTCCTACGAGGGCACGGATGGCGACCTGACTCGTAGAAAGACAACCCGACGTGGAGGCAGAGACCCGACTGCTAAGCTCAGTTTGGCCCTCTCCAGCTCTGGGCCTTAGGTGAGCCAGGAGAACCACCAGGACCTAGGTTCTCCTCCACAAAGTGACGGCGTTGTCGACCAGGGAGACCTCCCTCAGCTCCAGCTCTGCCTAATGCTACCACACAGGCCTTTCTATCTCACATCAGAACCCCGAGAGCCAAAGGAATTCTTACCAAGAGCAGTTCAAGCCAAATGCCAACATGGTAGTTTTCAATCTTTGTTAATTTTAGGGTAGAGATTACAACTGTGAACCTTGAGGAAATAGAAGGAAGCAACTAAAATACATATTTTTAAAGTGTTAAGTTGATTCTGATCTGTTTCTCAGAAGACATAAATGGGCAACAGAGTGAGCTTGGAGGAAAGAAATATAAGAAATGTCAAGGTAACATCTTATACTTGCAGGAATTTATCCTAAACTTTTAAAGTTTTATTTTGAAACTCCCAGAGTCTCAAAAAGAGCTTCAAAAGCTCTTCTTGTTTCCTTAACAGTGTTATCACTACCTGGAAATTTATAAAAGCCTTCTCGCTCTCCTCCTTTTTCTTATAGTAAATCCATGATTTGTTATTCCCAACAATGGAATACTAATGGATCCTCAAAAAACACTAATTGCCCATTTTTTTCCTAATTACAAAATGTAAGAACTCTTTAGTGAAAACATTAAACATGATGTCATTTTAAAAGTGCCAGAGTTTCTATTCAAAGCAATGCCATAAAATAGATAGCTTATTTAGTTTACAAATAGCAACACAAAAAGGTTCTTTAAGTCTGTTTAGCATATCTGAAAGTGATTCTTTCTCACATTTAAATATTTGGGGCTATTTCCACCCCCCTCCAGTTTATTATCTTATCTCAACTGTATAATTTTCTTAAATAGGATTCAGAGAAATAGTCTTAGATTTAAATTTTTAAACACTAATTTATAAAAGCACTGGTTGATTCCCATAATACAGCTGGTAGTCAAACTGGACAGGATAATGAATTGACTGAGATCATTGTTCCATCTTCATCCAAGAAAGCTGCCTCTAAAAAAAGATCTTAAATTGCTGTAGAAATCCAATTTGTAAGAAGCAAAAGAAGCATCTAGATGGGAAACACCAGCCATGATCACATTAATTTTGTGGCTAACAGCACCGCTTAGAAGTGAAGAAGAAGAAGAAAAAAAAGATGACAAAAATAATAAATCCACTCAAATCCCCAGTTTTAATCTAACAATACAACCAGAAGAAAAACAACCACAAATACAAAGTTCACATCTTGGTGATCCAGTGAACATCACAGCCCCACAAAATAATTTTCTGCTTAATAAGGAGCAGAGGAATGCTAAGGAAATATTATAGGACGGCGATGCATCATTGATAAAAAACAAATTATAGTAAGAAATCAGGAGACCAGGAACCTGACATTAGTACAAACAGCCATGGAAAGTGCATAATTGATTGGCGTTTGAATCCACAGGTGTGGGAAACTGACAAATAATTGCAACCAAAATCTTCAGCTTACTATAATTGAGAACTTACACGGAAAAATCTCTCTGACAAACTACCACTCATTTAACTCCCTAATTCAAATAAAAGCTGCAACATCACAGAGATATAAAAACAAAGGCACTGTTTCCATTTTTTGTTGGAATGTTCTAATAAACCATCTCTTCATATACGAACTATATAAGGTCACAACTGACTTCTAATTGACAGGCCATTTATGGATATCAGCAATTTACATTCAAAAACAGTTGGCTTGAAGATATAATCGATTGAGGAAACATGTTTACTCTGAGTAAAGTTGAAAAATAAAAACCACTATGAATCAGTTAGGATTTAAAAATAACAGATCTATATAAAATGCCATGAGCAAAGGAAAATGAGAAAATTTATAGGAAAGCACAAGTGAGTTCTTTTATTGTTTTCAAGTTTTATAACTAAAGTAACAGCTGATATTCAATCAGCAGCATCCTTCTTCAGGGGAACATATACCTAGGACTTTTGTTTGTTTTATTTTTAATTTTCAGGTTTCTTTTTAAAGAACTCCTTTTTTTTATTAAAACTTAAGTACGTATTGAAGTGCTTCATGAAAGCTTGTGAAAAAGGGAATTCTTACCTGACAAATTATTTAACAGGCTTCATAACCCCCCGACCTCCACTGCAGTTCCCATGCTCATGAACATTATTTTATCCAGGAGATAATGGTCTTATTCACATACCCACATTAACACACACAAACACACACAAAACCTTCCACACAAAATGCTACCAAGTCTCAGGAAACTGACAAAAGCAACATTAAAGGTCAGTATAAAACAAGACTTCCATTTGTGAATTTAATCTATGAAAATACAAGATTGTTCTCATTTAACCAACTACAAAGTTCCCTTTCTGCTTAATAAGTGTAATAAACATCACCTTACCATTATCTGTAGAATAAAATCAGCAACGTGTTTCTTCCTGCAGTCACCGAATCAAGTTTTTTCTTCCTTTCTTTCTAGTAACTTCTTTTTCAACAGCAAGATTAGGAAGAAAATAAAGCTTTGAGTATTTGCCTCAGTACTTCAGACCAAAGACTGTGAAACTAACTCTTAGCACAAAAAAAAAACCCAAAAAAACCAAAAAACAGGTCTGGTATTTCACAATCACTTCTGCAACCCAGAGGTACCTCCTGGACTCCCGTACCTCCTCTCCTCCCTGGTTCTAAGTTTCTTTTAGTAATGAGACTAATTTTTCCAGTAGCCTTGAACTCCCTAGATGTAACTGACATGGAAAATATGACTAAAAACTTGTAGAACTGTCTAGCCTCCAACCCTACACAAAATCAACTTTGTTGTAAATGTTGAAGAGCACCTCGCAAGCAGCTACTTGCTCCTTTAGACTCCTGCACGACACAGCACAGAACACCAAATAACAGTGCGCCATCTAGTTAGCAAGCTGCACTCTCCATTCTAGAAGGGGGGACACCTTCAAACCCTGGGAGTTAAGGACTTGTCAGGGTTCAGCTGCTCTAAAGGTCCAATTGTTTATTTAAATAAAAAAAATATCGCTACTGAGATAATCCACATCTAGTGGATATGGGAAAATTTAGGTTATAATGGCACTACAAACTTTTACATCTAACTTTGATTTACAAGATAAAAGCAAGTTTTAAATTAAAAGGGCTTTCTGTTAATAGAGCTTATTATTCTGAAGACGGGGAATGATTTTCTTCGAAAGTTGTCCCTGGGTGCATGCCTATTATCTTTGCTTTTCCCCTTCCACTAATGAGCATTTATCTAAAGAGCCTGTTAATCCTCTGATGTGTGCTTCTGGTCAGAGGTAACAGTTTGAATAAAACCACTAATCACTGATCACTAAATCACTGATCATTAATCACACTCTCCAGTGCTGGTGACCTGGGCCATTTTCCCCTTTAGGTCTATGTATGAATCACAAACAAGAAGTTTAACATTTTAGATGTACATGTATTGTGTGGGGGTTATACTATTACATCTCTAGACATGAATAAATAATAAATTCTGCCACAGACTTGGGGAAGGGTGTCAATTAGACCCAGACAGGAGTTTCACAAATGCCTACTCTACAGCAGGGCTTTCACTTTGAAGAAAGTAGATCTGATTATAACAAAACATGTGTTCTTCAAGAAATTCCCACATACTCGAGATATAAATTTTCCTTTATTTCGCTTTCACCAACTCCAAATCGGAGAGCACTCAACTCCTCTGCCCCCCACCCTCCAAAAGCTGTTAGGAAATCTTTGATTCCTGCTGCACATCGCTCATACCCCTCACCCCGTCCTGTCCCCCCACCCTGTCCCCGCCAGAGTTCTTCTTACTTTTACCCCTTAAACATGTCACACGCAGTATTTTTATTTCAACTGCCAGATACGGAGATTCTGACTCAATTCAGTGACTTATGTATTTAACTTCCCCTTTAAATACAGAAACTTAAGGCTAAGAAAGAAAATAACACATGCACCAATTTATTGCTTGGTACTTTGGGTTCAACGACTCACATTCCCTCACTCTGGAAATGAAACGTTTAATCTTGAGCCGTTTAGCTAGAATTCATTTAGTCAGCATCTCACTTCATCTCTCTTCGGCTAACCGGTCAGAGGAAGGCGCTATGTAAAATTAAGTACTCTATAGTGGGTGTGTTGTTTTCCTGAGTCACCACAGGGACACAGTATTATCATAACGTCTCTAAACATTTCTTCGGATGCCTTTTCTATTAGGGCTGAGCATTTTTACCCTGGAGAAGAGGGCTGGCCGGTGCCTTTCTTAAATAATAGAAAAGGGTAGATTGCGTGTGCGCTGATAGGTACTGTGCCCCCCCTCAGCCACCAGAAGCTCTTACACACACTCCAGGGACTGTGATCTCCCCCAGGGAAAGCAGTAAAAGGCGGAGGCGGGGCCAGCGTGATAACGGTGCAGGAGGGAGAGGGGGTGGAGAAGGAGGGGACCAGGAGGAGAGGGCAATAAAGATGCCCATGGAACCAGCGATTGTACGAGTATGTTGGGGGCTGGGGATGGAAAGCATAGTTGCTTTGTCAGCATTTCTAAGCCCCCAACCCTTGAGTATATGAAGCTGTTAATCACTTACTGGCCTGCAGAATGACGTAATGGACCTGTATCCTGCCTTTATTCCTTGACACATGTCAGAGAAGGAGGGAAAAATAAAAATCAAACACTGCGGATTCTACAACAAAATATACAACCACTCCACTTAGTTCCTGGCCTTGAACAAGCCTCAAGTGGGGGCGGCAACCGTTCAGGGAAAGTTGGGGAGGGAGTGGACAAGATCCGAGGCTTTATCTACCAGATACCCCACTCTCCCGAAATAAATCTATGGCAAAGGAAAAGCGGGATGCAGCCCCGGGGAGAAAACATCCCCTTGGTTCCTTAGTGCGTCTTGCCCCTCTAAGAACGTCGTGAAAAGTTTTAAGCGATTCCGTGGAGAATCTGCCGGAGAGGAAGGCTCCACCGCCGGGTCCTGGGAACTGCCACCGCGCCGCCGCGGCAAAAGCGCGAGCTGTCATTTGGGGTAGCGGCGAAGAGGTAATGATGCCAGCGAGAACCGGACGGAGGCAAGAGGAGGCTGGAAGAGTGAAGGCGAGCAGAGCCTCGACACTCTCGAGCCTTCTGTGCCGGGAGTGAAAGCCAAGTGCCCTCCAAGGGCGACCGTCCCCCCCCCCCGGCGCGCGCGCCCACCACCTGCGGCGGGCACGCCCTGCGGGAGAGGTGGCAGCAGCG